CTTTAAATTTGCATATATCTAATTTTAATTTATTTCACTTTATAATTATTTTTTACATTTTTTACTCCTTCAACCATTCTAAACAACATGTGCAATGCACGTGAAATTTTTCACTTTATTACCTTTATTTTAAGAGCAATTTTGGCATTTAAATACAAATATCTCTCTCAATTCCTCTAATCTTATCTCTCTTTCTAAATATTATCTCTCAATCTTTACAATTTTCTCTCTCTCGATCCCCACCGTCTAATTAACCCTAATTTTCTCTTTCTCTATCTTTCTAAATATTATCTCTCCACCCTTACAAATTCCAAATAATCTTAAATAAATGATAATTCAAGTAAGGAATTTAGATGGATGGAGAAAAAAAAAAGTGGACGAGAAATAAAAATAATGATAGAATTAAGAGAGAGATAAATTAAATTTTTAAGAGAGAGGGAGAAAATTATTTAAGATAGTGAAATTTTTAATAGTTAAAGAAAATATTTGAAATTAAGAGGGTGGTGTGGAGGGTGAGGGGAGAGAGAATTGTCGAATTTGAGGAGATTTATAGGAAGAGAAAGAAAGAGAGATGAATGACAAAATTACCATCAAAGTGATAGAGAAAATTATTAAAATTAAAGGGTAAAATAGAGAGATAAAATTTCTTTCTGTTGTCCCTATTATATATAGTATAGATAATTTCTTTTAAAATTGGGAACCCACACGTTTTTTAAGATTTTCAATTCCCATGTTTTCCAAAAAGACACTTTATTCCTCTTAAGGTCGTTAAAGTATAAGTTCTCGTAAAATAGATATATGCACATTTATTTTAAATTTCTTTAAAAATTTGGAAAACAATTCTTTAAAAATTTCTGAGGTATAATTTTTCAAAATATAGAATTGACATTAAACTACTAATCTTATTTCAATATTTAACAATAAGAAAATAGATATTTAACAGACTTACATTTTCATAAATTTTTTACAAAATTAAAAGCAAAAAGAAGCCACTCCGTTAATATTTATATTGTCCTAAAAGACAAAAAAAAAAAAAAAAGCTAGTATATTGTCGTATAGCTCAACTGTTTACCTCTCTAAAAAAAATGAGATTGAAGTTAAAAATTTTTCCTTTTTTTGAATTAAAAAATCAAATAATATATTTTATAATTAAGTTAAAATTTGTTATCTAACTAAAATCTTTATAAATTAGGGTTGAAGAAAGTCCAACTCATCCTATAAACTTTGGAATTAATTGAGTTAGGTTATATTGGTCAAAGAAAGAGGTGAGTGCGCTAGCTTGTTACATCAATCACTTTTGCCCTCCTCTCTTTGGTTTTCTTTGTTTTCAATTATTATTATTACCCACTTTGACAAACTTTCTTTATATATATATATATATATATATATATAATATTGAAAAACTTAAATTTAGATTCAAATAAATTTTAGATTTTTTTTCTTAGTTTAACAAATGGGTGTGAGGGTGTGGGGGATTCCAACTTTGTCTTGTCTTGACAAATTGATTGAGTTATGTTTTGTCGACCATTTTCATGAGTAACATGTTCTATATATGGTTATTTTTACTCTATCCACAAAGTATCCCTTATTACACAATATATTATTTGAGAATATGTAGTTGTCTTTTAAGATATAACACATTTTTTTATTGTACGTAATAGCATCACTCTAAACTACAAGAACGACAAACCAGAATAGGCACATGATCAACTTTATTTTGATTAACGCTCTAATATATGAATGAAAGAATGAAAATTCGTGAACAAATATCATCGGTGTAGAAAGTTGTTACATTTAAATAAAGATGAAAGTTGGAAGGCGTGTCATTCTTAAAAAGACTTGGTAGCCTTTCTATTAGGAAAGGAGCCAAAACAAGAGAGAAATAGAGCTATGTAAGACTTGGGTCAAGAGGGCCGAGAAGGCAACGACAGTGCCGCAATGCTACTTTCAGGATGGTGTGCAGCAAAAACTTGTCCCTGTAGAGTGACCAACGTCGTGGTGGTATTATTTCTGAGTTGGGGAATGCCATGGCGCGACGTTTTGGGCTATGTTTTTATGGACATAAGTCTCAAAAGACTTGAATAGCAGTTGGCAGCGGAGAAAAGAGAGAAAAAGGCTAGAGACTGTTGTGAGTAGTCTATAATTTTAGTGAGAGTTTTTATGACGTAGTCTTAAGTAGACATTGTTATGATACTTAGAAGCTAGGTAACTATTATTGTGGAATCTTTATAGAGTTGTATGAGGGAGATCAATTATTATAGAAAATTAGACATAGTCTCGAGAGATGAACCAATATAAATTCTTTAGTATTAAGGTTTTCTATCTTTATCTTTTCATTCCTTTTATTATTATTAATTTGTTACCTGCTTGCTTGGTCTGTACATGGAAAAAATCAAATATATGGAAATTGAGTATTTGAACTCACCCACAATAGTGCAAAGAAAGGATGAATGAAGGATTATACTAGGATGAAACATGTTAGTAAAAACTTTTGTTATCACTTTTTTTTTTTAAATTCTTTTACAACATACTAATACTATTATATAATATGTTATAGAACGAAATAACGACGTTTTCTTCTATGCAAAGATATATAAGTGAGCTAATATTAGAGGAGAAATTTGGGCATGTGAAGGGTTTTTGTTGGAGTCCAAAACCATCGTTATATACTCGGATCAAAGCAACTAGCCAAAGATCCACAAAAGCAGATGCTGAGATCTGCTCAATTGCGAGATAGAGTGGGTTCACAGCAAGAAATGTTGATGGAAGTATCCATTTTTTGCAATACTACGTAAATACCGATTTGTCCTTTGTTGATGGAAATGTCAACATGTGGAGGTGTTACGGACGAGGGACCACCCTCCACATTTCCATAATGTGATATTGTTCACTTTGGGTATTAGCTTTCATGGTTTTGCTTTTGTATCACCCATTGGTGGGACTTTGGTCACACATGTAACAATCATTCCCTCATTTCTTGAACAAAGTACTATCGAGCCTCTCGTCAAAGAGTCATCCATCCGTGTCTTATTACGAGCACATCACCTTTAACTAGACGCTACTCCCTTTTCATCAAAGCATAACCACTTATCGGATAGGCGCTCAACCACAATTTAATTTAACAAAGTGCCACTTCTCTTCACCAAGAGCAAAACCACTTGTCGAATAGCTCAAACCACCAGTTGGATAAAAGCTCTGATACGGACAAGCGGCCACTCTCCACATCTCCATTAATATGATATTGTCCATATTGGGCATAAGTCCACATGATTTTGTTTGTGGTATCACCCAAAAGGCTTCATTATATGGAGATGTTGTCACTAACTTATCTACCCAAGATCTACATTTTCTCTAGCCAATGTGTGACTTTGATCGCATCCCCAATATGATGAAAATTTAATACCTTCTATTGGAAAAATTACTTATCAAGAAACTTTTTCCCTTCCACAGTTCGTGAATAAATGAAAACTAAGCCAACCACAATAATAAGAGAAAAATAGAGAAAAGCAAAGAAACTACATAAACAACTTATGCTGGTTCACCTAACTATGAGCTACATCCCGTCTTCTGCTACAATGAGTTTTGCTATGATATTTGGATAAATACAATGAATCTCACAAAACGCTCTACAAAACTCTCTTTAGATGCCACAACAATGGCCACCTACCTTCTAAACACTATGCTAATAGATACTTAGGAATACAAGAATGGAAAACCTCACCAAAACACTATGCTAATAGATACTTAGGAATACAAGAATGGAAAACCTCACCAAAATCACGAGAATGGATTGCTGACGACGCTCTGTAGATCAAATTCTCTTTCTCCTCTGCCAAACAACTGCAACCACCACCTTTTTTATTTTGCTTGGGGTGCAAAACCTAAAAAGCTTAATAACATAAATCTCAACAATTTGAACCTCTAATTTTTTTTTTTATATAAAATATATATCTTAACTAGTCTAACTATTCTCAGGTTGTGTCCATGTTTAACCTTTAAGAATTTCTCTCCTCCCCATTCTTATCGTCCTCCTCGCTTAGTTCCCTATAAGATTTTGAAATATAGGGATAGTTTGTACTCACAAGTTATAACATATGGGTCTACTATGAGTATTCTAAATAATGTCAAATTCTAGCATAGTTCAGTGGTAATTGGCATATACCTCCAACCGAGAGACTGTAAGTTCGAATCTACTTCCAAACATGTTGTACTAAAAAAAAACTATAATTGGATTGTTGTTAAAATAAAGAGGAAAAAAAACGGATTGTTCTACTCGACGAAGAGTTGAATCTTTATATCTGGTTCACTCAATACTCGTCTCAACCAATTTGGTTACTATACATGTCTAGTTTAACATATTAATATCCCTATTTAAAGCTATAGTCTATTTACTAAATGTTTTTAGTCTATCTAGAAAATTATTAAGAGATAATTTTTATAAACAAAATGGTGAAAGTTCACCTAGTAAAATAAACAATTAGACATTTTACTTTGCGGTCGATAACGAGATCTAAAAATGTAAAGGTTAAATTATAAATTCGGTCTCTATCATTTTACATAATTTCAATTGGTTCCCTATCATTTTAAAAGTTTTAAAATTTTCTCAATAATTGGTGCGTAGTTTCAATTTGATCCATATGATTTAAAGAATTTAAATTTAGTCTCTATAATTTCGTTAAAATCTCACGGATCATTCTTAAACAAAAAATCCACCCATCTCCTTTTGCTTTGTACATGACCTTAAATCTTAATACTGACAACTAACACAATTGACAAAATCGGAAATACTAACTCATTGCTATATACATAAACGTGTTAATTTGGTAATAATAGGAACAAGTTCTAAACCAATTTAACATAACTCAACATCTCTCCCCGACTAAAAGGTGGTACTTGTCGTATACAGCAAGAGACTAAATTAAAAATTTTAAAATCAAATTAAAACTACGGCCAAAAAAAGGCCAAAACAAAGTTAGATTCATAATTTAACCAAGTTTAAAATAAAGGGTCCACTTGGAGAAGACCGCCTGAAGCTCCTCCTTGGGCGGCCATTGTAGATTACATCCCCAAGTTTCGCCACAGTATTTGCTTCTCTTCTTCCTCCATGGACTTACTGGTACATTCCAATTCTGCTTCTCCATTTATCGTTCCCTTCCCTTATCTTCTTCTGAATCTCGTCCGCTACAATCGCAGAACAAGTTCAGCACGCGGAAGAAGGACCCACAAAAATCGCCCTCTGTTCCTGTCTCCTGGATTGAAATCTCCGAATCTGTCTCCCGCCACTGCCAATTTCGACGTGATGGTCGACTTTCTGTGAGCTTCTGGTTTTCGCCGGACATTTACGTTTTTGAGCTGGGTTCTGATTTCTGAATGTGTAATGGTGTTTGGTTTTCAAATTAACCTTCCTTCTGCTCTCTGGTTATTGATTGTTTAGTATAAATGTGGTCAATCTTGGTTGCTCGATGTGGTTTATTTAGTACTAATTGGTTTTGAGATTAAGGGCGAATTTCTTTTCAAATTAAAGTCATGGTTTACAATTATTTTTATTATGGAACTGGAGGGTAATCTAAGGTTTGAGGTGTTGGACATCTGTGATGGTCAAATTATTTACTTCGATTGCTGTCACCAAGATGATTACACGATGAATTACTCTCAGAACTTTATAGGATTGGCTGAAATGGTTGTATTTGATTTTGCAGTCCGTTTAATGCAGAGGTTTTTTAGTGTATCATAAAAGTTGAATGGTCTATAGAGTGGTGCGTGATGTAATTTTTCTGGTCATCTGTGCTGCCCTTTATGATGCAAATGGGACATTCTCAAATCATGATTTTGGAACCTAGAATGATCATAGCTTGATATACTTAGTTAGTCAACTTTGTTTTAGCATGAAATTGGCAGGATTATTCTCTCTCTCTCTCTCTCTCTCTCTCTTAACAACGGGTGGGGAGATTCACATATTCAAACTTTAGGAGGTAAGTAATGCCTTGACCAATTGAGCTATGCTCATATCAGCAGTTGGCCGGATTTTATGTAGATTGATACATGGATATTTTACTTGGATTGCTCAAGTTATCCAAAAGAGTCTAGTGCTCAACTTCTATACCATTAGGCATCTCCAAAGAGAACATATTACTGACTCTGGCTTAGTTTGTGAACTTTACAAAAATACATTGAAAAAACACATTGCTGTAACCCTAAACCCTAAAACACATCTATCAAAAAATTCCAATGTTCGAAGAGGCTGCCCTTCTACTTCTCTCCAACCACGTCAAAAAATTGCTAAGAAACGTTGCCATAGCAAATAACCTCTACTTGTGAAAGTGAAGAGCTGAAGCAAATGAAGTCCCACAAGTGTGCCAGTGTACACATTTCAATAGAAAAACTGAATAGGCACATCACCTTTACAAATGTGTCAAATCTTCTAATTCCTTCTTACCGGAGAATGCTGATGGTAGTGAGCCAAAAGTTGAGGACCTCTAAATGAAATCAATGTTGTTAATCTCCAAAGGCAACAAGCCACGAGAAACTTACTTTTTTGAAATTTTGACCCTCCACAGCTTAGTGACGAAAAGTTTGGCGGAGACACAACACAAGTCGAGTGAACAAGAAGTTTGCAAGCGAAAGAGTCAGACGATCAAAAGTCAAATACCCTTTCAACTTAGTTGACATTTGACTCTTTGGATAATAGATAGACGATGTACTAAATCATCAATCCCCAATTCTCCCTATGAAATGGGCTCTTCCGAAACAAAAATTATGAGAGTCCTCCCCACAGTTGAAACTACAGAAGCCATCCAGTAAAGTTTAGCAAGGGATAAAGGAGAACTATAAAATGCTGTCTTGGCCACAAATATTCAAAACAAAGAGAGAAGCTTGGAATGGAATGAAGTAACGTTAAAGTAGAACATATTTTAATGAGAAAAGCAACAATGAATGAGGATTGGCATGTTAAATTACTTTGAAGAGAGATGTAAGATGTGTAATGGTCAAATCATTTGGCATGCCCTCTGTGCTTATTCTCCCTCCAAACAGGCGCACAAACATGTCCTTGCTAATGGGTGTCCCACCTAGTACCAAGCAATTTGACCCTATTGACTGCTTAGGTAGACCTTGCTTCTGCTTGTATCCCGTGCATCTTAGTTCTAGTGTTTGCTTGAAAGTGATGATATTTATGTTACAATGCTTTGGCAAAAAGCCTCTTCTATGGATATTTATGAGAGTTCATGGTGAAGAGCATGATTGTCTTAAGGAGTGATTGACTAAGGGTTCTTAAAAAATTATTCCAAAATGGATAACAATGTTATTGATTCAACCATGATTGTTTTGAAGTCAAGATTAGAAAATGACATTTTTTTTTTCCAGTTGGGTAACCTTGAAATTGGATGTTAATATAAAATAGAAATTGATTTCTGTAGGTGAAGATTATTGATGACACAAGACCAGCAATTCAACGGGTTGTCGAGTCTTTCCTAAATACATTTTTTCCCTCGGGATATCCATACAGGTAATCTGCATGATTTATTGCCATTAGCACTGAGGGGGGATGTAAGCATAAAAATGAACAACTGCCTTCTGTAATTTACTTTATCATCAACATTTTACCTGACAGTGTCAACGAAGGATATTTGAGGTATACTCAATTTCGAGCCTTGCAACATGTTACTAGTGCAGCTCTGTCAGTGCTCTCAACGCAGGTCCTTATCTGAATCTTTCCATCTTTGAATGATTATTATATAACTCTTGAAAATAGTAATCTGGCATTTCTTTTTCTTTTCCGAAATCTGGAAGGGTACCAGAAAGAGACAGGCAGTGCCTGCATATGCATGTGTTGGGTCTAAACAAGTTAAATTATTATGGTAATCTTTATAGTATTAAATATTTAGAAATCTAGAGCTTATACAATTACTTTAGATGTCATTTACCTATTTTAACTGTTATTATTGAACTCTTTGACATCAAAATTGTGAATGTTGATTATGATACTGTATGCTTATACAATGTATTATAATAGTCAAATTACATATTTATCATGCAATTTATCTGCAAGCTTGTGCTTGATATATGTTCTTAATCCTCTTCAGTCACTGCTGTTTGCTGCAGGATTGCGGCCAACAGCGGCACAGGCTACTGTTGTAAGTTGGGTAAGTTCCATTCGATAATTGTTTGTTACGAATTTGATTGGTGACATACTTCTTCTTTTTCTTTTTTTTTCCTTTTCCATTGTTCGATTTTTCATTACCTCATTCTCTCTGTTTTTTCAGTAAATATATTTTTTTAATTAACCAGATACAATTATTAAAGTAAAACTTGAAATATACAACAAGCGGTTAAAAAAAGTTATTGCTTTCTTCCCCTTGCAGGTTTTGAAGGATGGGATGCAGCATGTTGGAAAACTCATATGCAGCAATTTAGGTGCAAGAATGGATTCAGAGCCCAAAAGGTGGCGAATTATAGGTATGTATATGATAGAAATCAAATAGCTAAAATAGATCGAAAGATAAAAGGATGGATGGATTACAATAATTTCCAAGTTGCTCGAGGTACTTGGACCCTCCCCTCTTGAGATCCCTCCAACCTATCCCACACCAAACCTAACCCACACCAAACAATAGCATACTTCCATATCTAATTACTAACGCACCCTTACTATTCTATTAATAACCTTAATTACCCCAAGCCCATGATTATTCTATTAATAACCCTAATTACCCTCAATGGCCATTCCTATTATTAAATTACGATAGCATTTCCATGTGAATGTCATTTTGTACTATAGCCTTTCCAAGCGACATTCTTTTGTTTCTTGGAGTCACATTGTTTTGTTTTAAGTGACAAGCATCCATCCATCACTTTTAATAATGACTGGATTTTATTTTGTAGCTGATATCCTCTACGACTTTGGTGCTTGCTTGGAAGTTATTTCTCCCTTATGCCCTCATCTTTTTCTTGAGATGGCCGGCCTAGGCAACTTTGCAAAGGTTTAAGTTGCTTCTAATTCATTTGTTTCATTCTGATGTCCTGTACCTCCTCCCAAAAAAAGATATTAAGAGTAAATAATAAAAAAACTCCCGTTTTCTTAGTTTCTTTAGACAATTATGAAATATTTACTCTCTAGTATTCTTTTCTGTGATCATGTTAACATATTGGCAATTATTCATTTATATCAACTAACCGTTTGAAGTATTAATCAGTTTTTCTCCTTTCTACTTGGCCAGTACAAGAACTATTATGCCTTCTTTATTTTGTGAAACTTCACTGGTTTGACCTTCTGAATTTCTATTTCCCTTTTTGGGGCTAGGGAATGGCAGTAGTTGCTGCAAGAGCAACGAGATTACCAATATATTCTTCATTTGCAAAAGAAGGCAATCTTAGTGACCTTTTTGCCAAAGGGGAGGCCATCTCCACTCTCTTCAATGCTGTTGGAATGGGAGCTGGGCTACAATTAGCGTCAACTGTTTGTTCATCAATACAAGGAAAGGTTGGTTCCCCTGAATTTCAACTGTTTGTGGATTTTTTTACCCTATTTTCTTGGGCATTTTTCAATGTCATAAAGAGAGACAGAACACACTGGTGTCAACTGTCAAATTTACCATTCAAATATTATCAAGTAGTATACTCGGTTATCTGCATTTGTTGCCGGAATGACATTTTAAGTGACACTGCCACACTGAGAAAAGCCAACAAATAGGAACAAGAGGGTTTACAAGGGGGCTCCACAATTGCTAATAATAGGAAAGAGAGAAACTACAAAATCCCTACCCCATAAAGTTTATCTAAAATAAATATAGGTAAAAGTTTCTTATACAACACTGTTGCCCCCATCTACTCCATATGGTTACTCAACTGCATTTAGCTTAAGAATAGTGACTTTTGAGGAAATTTTTTGTTAGTATTGGTACTAGTTCCATTCATTATTTGCCATGTTAGCATCAGTTAAGAATGATGCAAGGTCCAACAATATTAAAGAATTATTTAGGGAGGTGAACGGAGGGAGTAGATACTATGAGAGTACAAAAAAATTTCCTGACTTTTGGGAGGTGTTCCCCTGAACTGCTTGTTAATAATAACCCAACTAAGAAATAAATACATCATATCGACTAATTGTTTCTTATCCAGGAAAAAGAAAAATAAATAAATAAGTCCATCATGGATGTCACGCTTCATGATTCTACTCTTGAAGATATCATATGCTTTCATATATTGGACTTGTATTATTGACTTGTTGTTGATGGTGAAATTGTATTATTGTTGGAGATTTGAACCCTGACCCGAGGGGAGGAGTAGATGTCTTTACTCTTAAGCTAAACTTCTATTGCTAAAATTGTATTAGTGTTAACAATCCGCATTTCCATTTTGTTGAATCATCCGCAGAAACATATATCTTTGATAGTTAATGTCTGTATCAATAAAGAATTAAATCAACCCTTAGTTTTCAGATTGGCTGTTACTTTTGAAATGGAGGATGAGAGGGAAAACCTCAAGACATGAGTAAAGCAGAAAAAACTATTGATGACTTGTCAGTTTTGGCGGGAATAAAATTTTATCCCTTCGTGAATAGAAATGCCCGATCATGTTTTCTTCCTTCTCTGGTCCTCCTGTACTTATCACACACCTCTTTTACTAATGAATTTTTACCAAGAGGATTTTCAATTAAGAGAAAAAAAAAAACCTTCTGCATTATAGGGTATAATCTATCAGACCCATGGTTTATATAAATCAATGGAATAATCTCAGTTTGACTACAAATCCGGTGGAATGGCTGTTGATCACTGGCTTGTTGAAAAGTGTGAGCACCCCAAGTTTTCTTCTACCCTTCTTCAGTTGAATTATTATAGATGAGTAGATTTCTTCCTCCATGATCATTATGCAAGTTGGTTCTGTAATTGGTTAAATTTTGGATTTTTCTTTCACCATAACAGAAGTGATACATTTGAATACTTTTTCTGTTGTTTTAATCTTTATTATTTTCTTGCAGTTGATTGCTGCACCTTTCCTTTCAATCGTACATGTATATTGTGTTGTAGAACAAATGCGAGCAACCCCGATAAACACGTTGAATCCTCAGAGGACAGCATTGATCGTTGCCAATTTTATGAAGTCAGGAAGGGTACCAAGCCCCGCCGATGTAAGGTACCGAGAAGACATCATTTTCCCTGGAAGACTCATAGACGATGCTGGAAATGTGAAAGTAGGAAGGCCTTTACATGAGGTTATAAAGCCATCAAAACTTTTTGAAATGAAACAAATTTTCCCAGAGGAGAAGTTTGTTTTGAACCAAAGTCACACGTGGGTTGACATGGTGCTAGAGCATGATGCCTCAGGTGAAGATGCATTAAGGGGATATCTTGTAGCTGCATATACTGCAAACTTAAAGGGGCCCTCTCATGAGCCGAGTGCTGGTATGTTGGTTGAGGCTTACGAAAAGATGAACGACGTTTTTACTCCGTTTCTATCTGAGCTTCAGGCCAAAGGGTGGCATACCGATCGGTTTCTCGATGGAGCAGGAAGTCGTTTTGCATGGTAATTCTTTATTCTTCTGGCGATCATTTTTTCACAAGCCATTTCGTGTGGTAGTTCTTTATTCTGCAGGTTTGTCGATCTTTGAACCCTACACAATATGGAGAAGAAATAGATTAGTGATAGAGGAGCTTTACTAACATCTCCATAATCTAGTTAGAAATTTGCCAACTTGGCAACATTGACGATTTCAAAATAGTTTGACGTTTCTCTTGGAAGAGAAATAAGTTATAGCATAGTTGTATGAAATGACGAATCAATCAAGTTTTTGGAGTTTCTTTTTTCGTTTTTTTCCTTGGATAACAAATTTGAGGAGATTTACAAATTGTAAAATTAGATATATATTTTTTTCATTATAAGTATCATTTTGTGCATTTCTAGCTTTATGGTTTGCTTTTTATTTATTTATTTTTCCACATGGAGGTTACTTCAAAAATGCATATGCCTCACATTATGATATTGTATGGGATTATTGCTTGCTTCTATAGACATTCTATACCTGCTTCTTAACTATTAGGTAATTTGAACATAGTTCAACTGGTTAAAGTATTAGTTACTTTAATAGATTGAAGATTGAGTCTTGCAGATCTGCCATGATATATTATATCTATACTATATTAAAAGGGGAGGATCTCGGAGAAACATTTTTGGACGCTTTTGTCCCTTTCTTAATTTATTAATTTACAAATTATGTCATTAATAATTTATTATAAATATTAAATTAATTATTGATTATTAATTATCAATAATAATATAATAATAAATGTCCATGTTMTAAACAAGGTTAGAATGCAAAAGGTTAGAATACAAAAGGTTTTCCACACTATTAAATTAAATTATTTTCTTTAATTACAATTTATAATAGAATTACAAAAGTTTTGTAACGTTTTATCTCCTAATACTATAAAAACATACTTTCTTTCACTATTTTTTCACGACACTTAATTCTCTCAAAACATTGCTCTCAAATATTATTCAATCTCAAAAACATCTCAAAATCATGTTGGCGACATATTCATCAAGTTGTAGAGAATACATGTGTCGACACTATATCTTGAATTCAAGGCTTGCGAGATCATCGTTCCATAATTTATGAGGTAAAATAAAATAATAGTGATTGTTAAGCATCAACATATTTTAGATTAGTGTATTGATAAACTTTGATTTTTTTTTTTTGTTACTATTGTTTTGTATTGTTCTATTACAAGTTCATGTTGATTTTGTTGAAAAAAAAATTTGTGTAAGGTCATAAAGTTTTAATTAATTGTAAATAGTAAATTAATAAATTAATTATGTACAATAATTTGTATCAAATCTAAAAAGTTGGAATATACTGACTTGAATTTAAATTAGTATAAACTAAAATATTTAATATATACTTGAAATTTTTTTAGAATTTTTAATAAACAAAAAAAATATTTTTTAGAAAATAATGGACCAAAATTAGATAAAATAACATTGTTAAAATAAAAAATTAAAGTACTTATACATTTCTTAATCAAATATAAAATTCTCACGAAACAATGCAATTTAAATACATTCATAGATTAAATGATTAAATGATTAAATTAGTAAAGTACATATATTTTAATGAAGTTTGTATATATACATCTTAATTTTTTTTTTGTTTATTATTGTTATTATTATACTAATATTGTTTTTTTCTCATTTATTTATGTTATTGTAAAATTAAGTTAAATAGAAAATATTCGTGCATTTGTACGAGGTATCGAACTAGTATATAAAAAAGAAAACATATAACTATGTATTACTTAGGTAAGATAGCTCTAATTTTGTGCTTGTCGGTGCAGACCAATTCAAATGAGTGGTAAGAACGCGAATTAACAAGATGGAAATGTGTATAGTCTTCGTTCGTTTTAAAAAATAGTATAATAGATACTTTCTAAGTAACCCCAAAGGGTCTTGTTGGCAAAGATTTGGATCTCTTGGTCATATCGGTTTAAAGATCTCAAGTTCGAACTTTTTGGTGAGTTCAATACTAAAATTTCTTGATGTTTGAGTTTGGATCTTGAGATGGGCACAAGTGTCCATGAGTATAGGGGAGCAAAACTCTACTTTGGATTATCCAAAAAAAAAAAAAATAGGACTTTCCTAGTAACATCACACTATAGTACTATTCTCATCTAACTTTACTATGCGTGCACTACACTATGGAGCAAGATCCAATGCGATGGTTGCTGCAAAGAATTTGAACTAATTGTGTCACAGAATATAATGTCTCTCACCTTGGAGGTGATCTTTGAGTTCATTTGCTTTTCGTATGATTTAAGATCATTTGATACATTAAATCGTCATTCTCGTTTAAACATTTTTAAGTGAGTTGTCAAATCGAGCCTAACTTAAGTTAGGAAATAAAACGAAAAGAAGTTAAAAATATTGATTAAGCCCACTCATGGAAGAGCATCAAAATTTAAAATATTTGTAACGTTAAAAAGGTTACCGTTCCCCATGTTTTTATAATGCCAAAAGCGGGACGAAGCTTTGAAATTTGTGGAAGAAAACCAAAACCAAAACCAAAACCTAATCCCCAAATCGGAGACGAAGATAATTAAATGGAGACGCCTCGTTTCCTCAATCTTCTTCTCCTTCTCTGCTTCGCCGTTTCCGAATTAACCGCCACCGCAGCGTCGGCGCGGCGGCCTGGATTTCTCTTCTCGAGAGCCAGAGGACGATGCACTTCACAGTAAGATCTCAGATCTCCATTTCATTTCTCTAAAACTATGCATTCAATTCATAATTCGTAAACTCTGAATCGGTTGAGGTGCTCTTGTAGACACCTCAACAAACACTTGGCCGCATCTGTATTTGCATTAGATTAGGTTTTTTCTGCATCGGACTGAGATCGACTCGGTTGTTTGCGCCGTTCCAGGTTCTGGAGCAGCAGGAGAGAGGCTTGGCCGCGGATGGCGCCGGAAACGGCGACGGTGGCGAAGGTTTTCGGATCGAGAGCTCGCGAACGGTACGGCTCCGAGATGACGCTAATGGAGGCGGCGGCGACGGCGAGGGATGAGGCGTTCGGAAGGCTGGTGAAGGAGGCAACTGCAGCATTGTTGAATTCGTATGGGAGAAGGGAGTTTCCATTGTCGGCTTGGGAGGTGAAGACATTGTTGATCAAAGCTTTGGTCTCGGAGGAGGCTGCGGCTCTTCAGTCTCAGCGTTTTGCTGTGGCCAATGACATCTGTAATTGAACTTCGCTTTTTTTGTTTTTTATTTTATTTTTCTAACTAGGAGTCATAATTTCACCCGGACTCAAAAGATATAAAGAATTTTTTGTATGAACTTGAGACTTCTAAGTCAATACGACGGAGAGATCTCGAACTCTTGTTAACGAGCTGCTCCTTGGAGGCTTTTGTTTTTTGTATTTTATATTTGAGACTAGGGGTAATTTGCTCTCTTATTCCACTCCCACGAAAGACATTTTGGAGTGAGTAACTAGATGTAATAGGGGCAGTTAGTAGAGTTTCGACATTATAAAAGATGTTTGACTCGTCTTTTAACCATTGCTCACTCCTCCAATGTATTTTACTAATTTTACAAGAAAAACTTTTTTGGTTATCTTGGAAACTTGCAAATTTTAGGTGCGAGCAACTAAACGTGGTAGGATTAGTTGAGTTTTGCGGATGTGGTCAAAGTTGTTTGACTCACTTTTTAACAAATTTCCTATTGGTATTGTAGAATTTGTGTCTGGATTTAGAAGGGAATTGAATGATAGATAAAATCAAATAATTCCTACTCTTTCATGGTTTTCAGTTTGGCTGTTAATTTTCTTGAAATTTTTAATTTTACTTATTAAAAATTCTCAACTAGGTCTCTCTTTCATAGTAAAAATACAGTTTTAGCCCTCACGTTTGAAGTGAGTGTCTATTTAATCTTTGAAGTTTCAAAATGCACACTTTTTAGTTCGTGAGGTTTTGAATATGTGTCTATTTAGTCTGAAATTCTAAAAGGATAAAACTTCCCTGAAGATTTAGGAGGAAGCTTAATTCATGTGTGGTCTAGTAGTATATAAACAAGTGGATTTTTTAATTTTGTATAATTCTTGTATGATCCACTTGTCTATATGCTACTAGATCACATAGGAATATGTGTCTATTTAGTCTCTGAACTTCAGGAGGGAAGTTTTTTCCTTTCTAAAATGGACACTTTAAGTCTCTAAAGTTTGAAAAATTGTTCTAAATGGGTCTTTTCTTTCTCTCTCCTTATCTATGTCTCCTATTTCCAGCCAATGTTATTTTCGTCATTGCTGACTCACCACTCGTCGTCGCCGTCGTCGTCGCCTCTGTTTATCGTGCATTTCGTTCCGTTTGCACCAACTAGAGGAGAGAGAGGGAGACCTCATCCTCTTGCCGGCAACTGCAAAGGACAGAGTACGACGGTGGTGCGATGACGACAATGGTACAGCGATGAAGAAAGTGTGGCAATGTCAGATGGTTGGTCGACGATAGTGGCTGGCCAAATATGGGAGAGAAAGAGGAGGGAGAGGAAGAGATAAATCCACAAACAGTCAACTAACGTTGAAATGACCATTTAGAACTGTTTCTCAAACTGAATCAAATATTTCCATTTTTAAATTTGAGGGACCAAAAAGACAGTTACTTTAAAACTCAAGAATCAAAACGGTTCATTTTGAAACTTCAAAGACCAAATAGACACATGCTCCAAATCTCATAAACCAAAAACGTATTTTTCCCTTCTTTCTATAAAAACAATAATAATTTAAAACTAATTTATCATAACTTATTGTTTTCTTTTTAAATATTTTGACTCGTGAGACCTGTCACTTAGAAAAAATGAATTTTATTAGTAGATGAATTGAATTTGGTTAATATGCAGGTTGAGCTTCATGTGATTTGTTCGCATGCTTAAATATGTTTGATTGCATCAACTATTTGTTAACAAATTTTAACAAATGTTTCCTGGGATGATAATTCTTAATACATTAGAGATAAGATTAATTTTTTTTTTAAAATGACTACTAAGAGATTGACTAAAAGATTACTAACCATGGGTAGATTTAGCCTTGTAAATATAGCATGCAATATAAAACGAATTTATAATATTATCCATTAGATTAACAAATTTCTAGTCGGGGATAAGAAATTTACATATTAGGTTTAACTCATTTTTAACTTTTAATTACATGAGTTAATCTATTATATATTTTTATTATAGTACAACAAGTAGGGGTAAAGATTCGAACTCATGATTTCTTGATCAGAGATAAGTATCAATTACCGACTAAATAATTCTAGGTACATTGCACTTTTGATGTATTTTAACTTTTGTATTGAATTTATAGCATTTTAGGAGCAATGGAATTGTCAATCCCTACGCAAAGTCATTCTCCCTGACACATTTATTAAACTTCGGGAAAAAGAAACAATATAATTTAATTATTTGAACAATTATATAAGTTAGGGTTGAATTTTATTCTTTTTATAAAAATTATACTTTTCATCGCTAAAGTTTAAGTTTGATTTCTATTCGAGGGTAAAATTTAACATGATATGTGAACCAATTATCTTATTTCGGCAACACCCAAACAACTTAATTAACCAAAGGGAGAAGACCGACCTACTTCTGAGAATGAGTTGAGATCAAACGAGTAGGCAAATCACCTAAGTTCATCTCAATCGACTTGAGGATATTGACCTCAAGCCCGACAACCTGTAACTGTCTCAACCTCCTGTCGGAACGGTATCGACGAACTTGTCCCCCCACGCTGTCTATAAAAGGAACGTCATTTTTTCCGACTCGGGTACGCGATTCTGTCTGAGAATGGCCTACTGAGCTTGAATCCTTACTTTGGGCGTCAGAACGTTTGTTTCTTTTTTGCAGGCCACTCCTTGCGCAACTCGCCTATTTGTAGCTCATTTGGGTTCGTCAGAAGCCGATCTTTATAGCTTGGTAGAATTCAACATCAATAGTTTCTATTTGATTCTTGAAGATTAAAATGACTCTCAGGTCATCTAACACAAAAAGATGACATGATGACATGACAAACTTGATAAGTGGACTTCTACTCCTGGAATGGTGTTACTGCAATAATATTAAATATCCATCGACATGTCCATGTATGCATGAGTTTAACATCGACATGAGAGGTAAATCAACATTTTAGTAATATTAAAAAAATTTTGATAAAATATGAAAAATATGAATTAAATTTCACGAATATAGATATAATATTAATATTATCATTCTTAACTTATTTAGAAATGGTGAAACGATTATTTGTTTATTTAAATATTTTTTCGTTTTTTTGTTTTATAATCGTTCCAGGAATATCCATTGACATCGACATTTTATCGATACTTTCATCCATATTTTCACGAAATTGAGACTTTGACATTTACATCGATAGCGACATTTAAAACTTTGGTTACAACCACATCATCTTTTTATTAAGTCGGTTGAATTCATAGACTTATTTAAGACTATTTTCCGGGACACCAAACAAAATGAACTTCAACATTAATTAAATAAAAACCAAACCTAAATTTCATAGACTAGAATGGTAATTTACACAAAAAGTTGCTAACTTGTGTATAGATAGTTAGGTCTATTTTGTGCACCTAATGTTTTAAACATTTCAATTTTACCCAAACCTTTTAATATTTGTTAAGCATTTTAAAAATTGTTTATTACAAAGTACCTTTTAATATAAATAAAGATTAAAGAAAGATACAAATTAAAAGATTAAAAAAAAACTTTTGAAATGTTAACTTTTTGGGGAATTTGACCGATTTGACCTAAAAATGTTTTAGGTTTGCTCAAATGACCCAAATTCAGATTTTTCACTTATATGACCCAATTTCTCTTTTTCTGACACGTTAGAGAAGGTGGTTTGACGAAATTGCCCATGTTGTATATGAAAAAAATGGACACATCTATTCTTAAAAAACTCGATCGAGATCGCACAAAACTCGACGGAGTTTTTACAAACTCGACGGAGTTTTTACAAAATTCCCTTCTTCTTTCTTCTTTCCTCTTTTTCCCTCTTTCTTATTTCTCGTATTTCCTCTTCTTTGGTTGAACGAGTAGCATCCAGTCTTCCTCCTTCATCGAAAGTGATCTCAAACAAACTGAAAGGTTAGTATTTGGGATATTTGTAGTCTTTATACTTTCTTCATCAAGTTTTGGTCATTGATAATAGAGCTGTTTTCAAACGATTTTATTTTGATTGTGTTTCTCTGTTAAAGTTGATTGTTGAGGTCCTGTGTGTAAATATTTTCTGTTAAATGTGGAAAAAATAAAGGAAGTGTACGGGTTTTCTGAACTGGGAAGGAATCTGGGTTTTTGTTGCATCCCAGTGGAGTTTTGATGAATCCCTATCGAGTTCTTCAAATTTTTTCGAGAAAAGTATGTTCGCAAACTCCGAACTAGGGGATCTGAAATTAGGTTCCATTTAGAACATAGGTTGGGGGATTTCAGATTAGGGTTCTATTTAGAAGTTTCAAACTATGATCTAATGTAGGGGAGTTCAAATTAGGGTTTAATAGGGCGATTTCATATGGGTTTTTCAAATTAGGGTTGAAGGTGAAAAAAACCCCAATTTTATCTATCCATCTCGACGGAGTTTTTACACGAGATTTTTTTCAAAGGCTTCGAACTTGAGAGTGTTTTCTAAAGTATGAAGCTCACTGGAAATTTTCCCCGTTACGAACTCCCTCGGGATTCAAAGAGAGAAATTGAAAATTTTTTTAGTTTAAACTCCCCCGTTACGAACTCCCTCTGGGGAGTTCCTTCAAGTTTAAGCGCTGACTTGGTTAAATCTTGGTCGCGAACTCCCTCGAGATTTTGAGATAAATTTTGAAAAATTTTTCCTTTTTCGTTAAAACTCTAGGGAGTTCCTTCGTGTAAGCTCACTTAATTGGTTAAATCCTGGTCGCGAACTCCCTCGGGATTTTGAGAGAAAATTTGGAAAATTGTTCGTTTTTTGTTAAAACTCTAGGGAGTCTACAAGTTTAAGCTCAGTCACTTGGTTAAATCCTGGTCGCGAACTCCCTCGGGATTTTGAGAGAAAAAATTGAAAAACTGTTCATTTTTTGTTAAAACTCTGGGGAGTTCCTTCATGTTTAAGCTCACTCACTTGGTTAAATCCTAGTCGCGAACTTCCTCGGGATTTTGAGAGAAAATTTTGAAAATTTGTTAAAACCTTGTTAAAACTCGAGCATAAACTCCCTCGAGATGCGTGGGGAAATTTTCCAGATTGCTATATTTCTATCATCTGCTTATTTGTTTCTGGTCCTATATGTTATAACCAACTTTTCCAGATTGTTAAAACCTTGTTAAAACTCGAGCATAAAATCCTGGTCCTATATGTTA